TTTCGTGAATAAAGTTTTCTTGGAACACAGCCAGCTCTGTCATGTATGTGTTGTCTGTGGTTGCTTACTCACTGCAATGGCAGAGTTGAGTAGTTGCAACAGAAATTGTATGGCCCATAAAGCCTATTTACTACCTGGCCCTTTACAGAAAAGGTTTGCCAACCCCTGAAATAGACCCTCAGATCCACACCCACCCACTTTACAGATGAAGACACTGAGAGCCAGAACTTGACAGACCAGAACCAGGGTCCTGCTGTGAGCTCTTGGCAGATTCAGGACTAGAATTCAGTTCCTCAGAATCCTGAACAAACCAGGCTCTCCCACATACCCCACCATCCTCGTTAGCCCCTAGCCCCTCCCCCACGAGACTCCCTTTCCGCTCTGGGTGGTCACCCTCATCAGCAGCTCTCTCTTCAGCATTTCAGAAAGGCCCCACCCATGTATGTCCTTCTTGAATCTGGGCCCAACAACCTTCCTGAGCTGACTTGTTCTCTTGACCCTGCATGAAACCCATCTAGGCTTTCTTTTCCCTTCTAGAACCTCTGATCCCACCCCTACAAACCTTCTCTTCAAAAGCCTTAGCGACAATTTTTTTTTAGGGTTTACTTCTTTTTAATTTTTTATTGAAATATAGTTGATTTACAATGTTGTGCCAGTCCCAGGCTCACAGCCAAGTAATTCTTTTTCAGATTCCCTCCCTACTACAGGCTACTACAAGATATTGAGTAGAGGTCCCTGTGCTATACAGTAGGACCTTGTTGGTTATCTGTTTTATATATAGTAGTGTGTAATTTTAATCCTAAACCCCTAATTTATCCCTTCCCCCCCTTTCCCCTTTGGTAATCATAAGTTTTTTTGCTATGTCTGTTAGTCTATTTCTGTTTTGTAAGTAAGTTCATTTGTATCCTTTTTTGGTTTCACATATAAGTGATATCATATGATACTTGTCTTTGTCTGACTTATTTCATTCAGTATGATAATCTCTAGGTCCATCCATGTTGCTGCAAATTGCAATATTTCATTCTTTCTATGGCTGAGTAGTACTCCATTGTGTATATGTACCACATCTTCTTTATCCATTCATCTGTCAATGGACATTTAGCTTGTTTTCATGTCTTGACTATCACAAATAGTGCTGCTGTGAACATTGGGGTGCATGTATCTTTTCGAATTATGGTTTTCTCAGGATATATGCCCAGGAGTGGGATCGCTGTATCATATGGTAACTCTATTTTTAGTTTTTTAAGACCATAGCAACAATTTTAATGGCCACTGGCCTGTTGAATGGACCATGTCTCCCCTCTGTTCACCTCAGGCCACCTGCTCAGGGGTTATTAAACCTGGCTTGCTCCCAAATTTCCAGAGGAGCTTATTTAGAATACAGATGCCCAGGCCCCATCCCAGACCTGTTGAACCAAAACTCTGGGGGTCAAATTGAGGCCTTGGCAATTTTCACACACACACACACACCCTTCCTAACCTCCCCCAACCCTTGACCCTGCAAGATTCTGAGGTTGAATCCACTTCACTAAGCCATGAGCTTCTTGGGCTTCCTCTAGGTTTTAGTTACTACAGACAACTTCAGAACAAAGTCCGTAGCCAGTGGAACATTGTTGTCTTAAAAAATATATCAAGAGAATACAGTCTTTTTTCCCTCAGTATTCTTCACCCTCTCCTTAACTCAAGACCCTAGCATTCTTTCCCATCTCCAACTCCTCCAAAAGAAACATCACAAATAATACTATTTTTCTTTCCTTCTGAGTAGCCAAGATAAGAAGATTTTTAGATGAGCTGCTGGCAAAGAATTCATGAGCTTATGAACTATTGAGGTCAGAGTGACAAAAAAGAAGGCAATGATGAAAGGGAAAAATAGGTACATAGAAAATTCCAGAAGAGGCCGGAATCCTGGGATTCAAGGTTTCTTACTCTGGTGCTCGCCGGCTGTCTTGGTAAAGGTGTTATTTTGATGGCACTAGAGCCTCTTTTTCTCCTCTTTGGTATTCATCAGAAGTTGGCTGTGTGCCCTGGGCCTCAGCATCTAACATGAAAGGCAACCGCTGAAGGGCAGTCTGTGCTAGAGACACAGCGCCCCTAGGGACTGGGAGTTGTGGGCTATGCTTTCGGGGGCACTGAGCAAAGGAAAGGCAGACCAGGGCTTGGGGGTGCTGCCTCTGAAAATACAACCCAGGGGGGGCATTCTCTGAGTACCCGGGGCTGGTTTTAGCAGTGATGGAGACATGGTGACAAAAATAAGTCCTGCTCACCTGAGACTGTAGTATCCAATTCAATTTCAAGTCTGTGTTTATTGAGTGCCTGATTAGGTTTAGGTGATGGAGAGACTGAGAGAATGGGGACGACAGCCTAAGCAGCAGGCTGATCTGGGCAGAAATTCCCTGGGAGCCTGCCCCACAGGTCCATGGGTCCAGAAACTTGATTTTATCTGTTTCACCCAGTAAGGAATTGATAAATCTTAGTCCATTTCATGAACACATTATTTATTAAATGCTCACAGCCTGCCAGGCACTGCCTTGGGAGTAGGGATGGTGCTGGATCGGTGAACCCAGCAGTTCCAGGTCCCTGCCCCACGGAGCTTACACTGTAATGCGGAATCTGCAAGGCTGGAGGGTAAGGCCACTGGGGTGAGGGCTACCATGGGAGGGGTCCATGCTGGGAGGAGTCCTCAGGAGAAATGTTTAGGGAGAGGTGGGATTCCAACTGTGGTTTGAAGGTTAAGTGGGGCGTGGCTTTTTAAAGGGCTGGAGGCCCTACAGACAGGGGATTGAGCTGCATGAGCAGGAGTGAAAATGGCATGCCATCAAAGGTCCAAGACCAGATCGGCTTCCCCTGGTGCTGGGAAGGAAGTTGGACAAGAGAACATGGATGGGAACCACATGGGGTTATAGCACATAGGCTATGTAGTCAAATGTCTTGGGTCTGGCTCCCAGCTCTCGTACTTGCTAACCTTGTGATCCAGGGCATGTTACTTAACCTCAATAAACTTCATTCTCCTGATCTAGAAAATGGACATAATCATAACTAGCTTGTACGTTGGCCCTGAGCATTTAGATGAGATCATGAATGGGATTAACTGAGATGAATGTAAAAGCTGTTTAATCTTAACATTGGATAAATAGGTTGCTTTCTAAGAAAACTGGGACCTGCCACCAAAACTGGGGGGGGAAGCTCGTGACATCTACATACTGTGAGGGGGTTGCTGCCTTGGGTAAATAAACCCTTTATTTACCAACCTTTTCTCCCTCCCGTGGCAGCCATGCTGGACTGAATGGCACCACCGGGGCTAGGGTGAGGCAAGAGGGCTGCTAGAACGTATTTACTTGATCTGACCCTCTTAAATTTTGCACCCAGGCGCCCCATGTGCCTCACCCTGGTCATAACCATGTTCAGTGGTAGGACACCTGTTTGATCTACACCATGCGTTTCTCAAAGTGTGGCCCTTGGTCTACCTAAATCAATATCATATGGGCTGCTTATTAAAATTATATTCGTGGATCCTATGCAATCAGCATCACTGGAGATAATGCCAGGGAATCTGCATCCCCCACCACACACACACTCACACACACACACACACTCACACTCACACACTCACTCACACACACTCAAAACCAGGTGATTCTCAGGCCCTATACCATACCTTAGAGCAGAAGTTCTTCGAGTTTGCCCCTCCAGCCCGGCAGCATCAGCGCGGCCCCAGAGCTCATGAGAAGGGCAGATTCTTGGCCACCTCCCCTGATCTACTGAATCAGACCCTCTGGGGGTGGAGCCCAGCAATCTGCATTTTAACAAGCCCTCCGGAGAATTCTGATGCGCGTTAAGGTCACCTGGGGGATGTTTTTAAACACTACCAATGTCCAGCCCAATCCTAGATAAATTAAATCAGAATCCCTGGGATAGGACTCAGGTATCAGTATTTTCCAAAAGCTCCCCTGCCCTCAATCCTAATGTGAGGATGGAGTTTATGATAATCACCGGAAGAAATAAGAAGATGGCACAAATGTATTACATTTCGAAAGTTGTAGTTCAGCCTTAGGCATTATCTCGGTGAATTCTGGCGGAGAGTTGCACCCCTGATGTGATCCCTTGAGCCCGTTGGTGCAGGAGACTTCCCAAAGCTTCAGGGGTGTGGCCGAGGCCTCAAAGTGCCGCCCCTTCCTCCCCCGCACTTTGCTGGCAGCTCTGGGCTATCCGGTCAGGCTCTCCGGGAAGGCTCCTCGTTTCCAGACGCTAAAGCCTGCTGGCGGCTTGGTTCTTGGGCAGAGCTGAGGCCTGGGAGAGCTCCAGAAGGATGACAGGGAGCAGCTAGGGGTGGGAAGAGAGAGTTGGAGGACGATTTACGATTGGCCTCACCACGGGGAGCCCCAAGTCCTAAAAACCCCAGGAGTTGATTGGATTTTCTACTAAGCACCCGACTCTGTGCATGGTGCTTTAAGTGAGTCATCTCCTTTATGTTCACATGACCGCCGAGGAAGATTACACTCACAGAAGAGTCACATCGTGGCCTTTCGGTCACATTGTCCCCGTTTTGCAGATGAGGAAACTGAGGCCCAAAGACTCAGGAGAGCCTGCCCCGAGGTCACCAGTGCGGTCCGGATGTCTCCAAAGGTCCTCCCACTTTGAATTGAGAGACAGGGTCTCCAGGGAAAAGGGGATGGGGATAGGGAAGTG